GAATTCATTGAATTTCCTCATACTTGTAGTAGTGACCCTTCCTCTACCTCGTTTGTTTCTTTCAGATATCTAATTATGTCAAGATCACCCCCTATGCACCAGGGCCCCTCCCAAAGCCCTCTAATATCTGCCAATTCCTCCCATGACAACTTTATCTCTCTATATGAATTTGGCCCATAGACATTTGTAAGCACCCATTCAAATCCATCATGTACATTCCTCAACTTTACTGAGACAAAGAATTTTTCCACCAGTTCCTTAGACTTAGTACACTACATTGCTACCTCCTTCTAGACTGTGATTATGCCAAGGGGGAAAACTCCATCTTATGTTCCTTTTTTCCCAAATTCCTATAATCCATTTATTATCAACCTCTTGAATTTTAGACTATTGGATCAACATTGTGTCAGATTTTTCTTTTCTCAGCACTTCCTTTATTGCTCTCCTCTTTGTGGCACTCCCTAGACCCCATACATTCCCGCTAATAATCTTCATGGTCAATGCTAATAAAGTTCCTAGGCCTTAGACTAACTACAGACCTCCCTTTCTTCTTCCCCCTCTTGCACTGAATTCCTTATCCCCATCCACATCATTTAATAGTTTCTCAACTTCATTCAGCTTCTTCCTTCTTTTTCCCCCTTTCTTATTACCTCTCTTGGGTTAGAGGTTCGTCTCCTTGCCCTTATTCACCTTTAACCCCATTTTAACTGCCAAGTCGACCATGGGATCCTCCCCCATCTGTAATTCTTGTCTATTTACTAACCCATTAGAACACCTTTGAAAGTCTTTGATTTTAACTCCTCAGGTTTGTGATTCTCATCCCCTTCAAGTGTTTCAACCACTCCCTCCATTCCCCCTTTTCCCCTTCAACATCTAACATAGGCAAGTCCGAAATAAGGATGGGAGCTGGTAAGTCTACATGGTCAGGGGAACAACAGTTAGTACCCAAAACTAAACCACTAGAGTTGTAGAGCTTACCAAGAGGAAGAGGAGTTAACAAGACTGGCGGTAGGACTTATGCTAAATTTCCCTGTTCAGTCTTAGTGCTTCCCACACGTAGAGAGTTGGCACTGTCAAGTTGGGAGTGTGTCACTTTTGTATCATTATGTGCCAAGCCTTGAGCTATTTCCCCAACCAGATTAGTTGATGAAGTTAACTAGTTCCCCTACTCATCCACCTTTCGGAGCTCCTGTACTTGTTGCTGATCTTGAAATGGCTGCTCACTATCTTGATTACCAGTTGACCCCTGATGTAGATGGCAGGATTTGTTAAGACCACTTTTAGCTTGAGGCCACACCAAATTATTTGCCTCCAACTGTTTCTAAGGCTCTTGCATGGCCCTTGATTACCCTTTCACTCCCAATGAATCTTGGAAGCCTCTTGAATTGGAATCATCTTGAGTACAACTAACTTTCCACCTCGTAGAGAGAATTGAAATGCCGATTGTCTTCAACATAGAGCTAGACCTGGACTGTTTCTTCCATGCTACCTATACTCGAAACCTCTTTAGGAACACTAGCTTCTTCAAATTGCCAAAGTTGTTCCACCCCTCATCACTAGAATCGTCTCTCCAGTCTGTGTTAGACCTAGTATAGTGCGGGTTGGGTTTGTCTTGGAGAGATGCAGGGACTTTCACCCAAACCACCTGATCGGATTTTGCCCCCTTGTAAGCTAGATGGGGTTGAGGGGGACGAAGCTAGACCCAAACTACCATATGCTTTTGACCTGCCCTGAGTAACTTGTGTGACTTTTAAGATGTCACGTGAGCTAGACTTAATGAATGAATCAACCGGGCGGTCCACCCCTGGTTCCTTTCCTTTCCCTCCATCCTTCTTAATAGCCTTCACATAGGTTAGCTTACCACCCTTTTGGTCCAACCTTTTAAATTCAAACAATTTTCCTAGGTTTGCCTTAAAAGGGAAATTGGAGCCAAAAGAAGTTTTTGTTTGACGGTGCAGCTTCCTTGACTAAATGGCTACCGTTGAGTGGGGAGGAGGCCTCTTCTTTCTTTCCATGTGTATACTTATCCTCCACATCAGCATCTTCTTCTTCCTTTGCCCTCCCCAACCACAGTGTCGCTTCAGCTTCCAACGCAATCCAAATTGTCCTCCACCTGCCACCAGTGAATACTTTAAACGACCTTGGAATCCTTCCTAGTTTTGCTCCCCCAACTACGATTCTTACTACTTGAAGGTCTGTGGTGTTAACTCCCCTGAGGTCACTGCCGCACAACACTGCTATTTGTTCAAAGATGTTGGTTCGGCTGATTTAATGTATATGTTAGTCATTGTTGGGTCTTAAGTCATTAGTTATTGGGCCTAAACTTGTTTAATGTTTTATTTGTCTAGGTGTCTTATCACTAATCAGGGGCATTCTAGTCCATCCATGTAACACTATGTGATAAACATATATAGAAGATAGTAGGGTCGGCTGAAAGGTTTAGAGCCGCCATTCTCAAACTTTCTCCTCTTCTTCTTMTCTTCTTCTTCTTCGGCTGCTGTGTTCCAGCAAACAAAAGATTTCCTCAGCCCAGAGGTTGACTGGAAGCCTGAGGATTTTAATCTGGACAGCCTCAGTTTTGAGCTCTTTCTCATTACAGCAAGGGTTCCAGTTTTCAACCGAAGCCAAACCTTCATGGGTGTTAACAGAGGAAATCAGGTCGTGTCCGATGGCAAGGTCAAGGGTGGAAGCTCTTGATTCAAATGGATGGAATGAAGCCATCTCAATGCCGAAAACAGGGCCTTGATGTCTAGCAGCACGTAATTCCAGTCTTCAACTTTCTTACCCAGCAGCACCACCTTTTTTCTCTGCCATTCATCCATTTTTCCTTCAAGCATCATCGTCGAACACAAAGAAACACCGCAGAGAACTTTGAGAGCAGCTACCTATGCTTTCTCATCGCTTTTTGAAGCTTCACTTCTAACCTCTGTTTTGTTCTCTAAGACTATGATTGGTTTGAGAGACTTTTCTTTTTGCCACCTTTGATGTTCCAGGTCGTCCAGAGCTTTAGAAAATCTCACCTAGCCTTGTTTTTCCTTTCCTTTTGGTCTGCAAACAATCTGTTTCTTTCCCTTTCCAAATGTTTCACACAGTTGAATAAAAACTCCTCTACTGTTGGATTTCCTCTCCACCATAAAGTTCTTCCCTTGCATGCTTAGCTCACCCTTCCAACCAATTACTATAAGTCCAAAGAGAATATTGTCGATAAAGCCTTTCAACCACACTATCGCCTCCCTGCTTAGAAACACCACAGAGCGATTGTTTTCACTAATCTTAACCGCTAATCCTCCTGTTTCTTCTAGTAAGAATCTTTTCTTTTCCACTTCTAGCAACTTTCTCCATCTGTTTGCTGGTACAAAGTTCATCTCCATCGCCTCTTCACCACTAGTTTGCCGTAAAGTATCCTTCTTGATGGTTAAATATATTCTTGTGACCCAGAATATTAAAATAACATTAAAAAACTAAAATTGAGTAATAATTGAAAAACCTAAGATTATAAAATCATCAGTGGATGAGGATTTGATGGTTTCTTCTTTCATAATTTGTTTTCCTTTTCCATTGCATTACTCTCACTCAGTGGTCAAAAAGCCCAGCCCAACCAAGGCAGGGCAGGGCAGGGCCCCACAGGGACGGGTCAAATTGCCATCTCTGTGTAGGATACACATTAGATTTTACAGGTACAATGGATTTTCACCTAGGTTCAACACTCAACCCTTATTTACTTGCACTGATTATAGATGGATTAGCTAGACATATTCAAGGGGAGGTCCTATGGTGCATGTTGTTTGTTAATAACATTATTCTAATTGATGAAACTAATGAAGGATTACATGCAAAATTAAGTTAATGGACAAATACCTTAGAAATAAGAGGTTTTAAAATTAGTAGGATTAAAATAGAATATATGCTATGTAAATTTAATAATATGATAGGAGTGCAAAGAATATGCATATAGTTGGATACCAATAGATAACTCAATGTGACCTTCCAATACCTTGGTTTGATAATTCATAACAAGGGAGAGAAGGATATCACCTGTAGAATTAGAGCAGGATGGCCAAAATGGAAGGGTGCATCCGGAGTCTTATGTGATAGGCGGATACTAAGATTGAAATGGGAATTCTATAAAATAGTTGTAAGACCATCTATGTTGTGTGGAGTAGAGTGTTTCACAGTCAAGAAATAACATGTCCAAAAAATGTGTGGCAGAAATGCTCATGCTGAGATGAATGAGTAGAAAAACTACAAAGGATAGGATCAGAAATGAATTCATTGAATGGAACCTAAGAATAGTTCCAATAGGTGATAAAATGAGAGAAGGTAGACTAAGATGGTTTGGTCATGTGCATAAATAGAAGACTATCAACAATACATGTAAGAAGAAGTGATCTAATGTAAATACAAAGGGGCTAGAAGGGCTAGGGGTAGACCAAAAAGAACATGGGTCAAGTAGTAAGAAATGATTTAAGTGCCTATAATTTAATAATGAATATGGAATTATAAACAGAATGGAATGACGAAACAGGATTCATGCAGCCCTCCCCAAAATAGTTAGGATAAGGCTTGGATGATGATGTTCTTCTGGTTATTATATTTTGGTTTATTCACTTCAATCTGAATTGGTTTTCAGATTCCATCTCACCTGGTGCTTTCTCACTTTAACTGAACATTGATGCATCAAAACTAATAGTTAAGTAGGATTGACCACATTGAATTTTAATATCTATTTGTTGCATAAGGTTCTTGAGTTCACACTAGATGTGGAGTTCTCACCACTTTCAGGGGGCTCTCTAGGACCTCAAACTGCAATCCAGATCTCCTGCCCACAGGAATCCTACCCACAGAACACTGAGCTGTACATTGGGAACATCTCCCCATGAAGGGTAATATGTAAATACTGAAGATGTTCCCAATGTACAGCTGTAGTGTCTTGTTTGGTAGGTGTGGGTAGGAGATCCGAGTTGCTCAAACTGTTCACAGAGTTTTTTATTGTTGAACAGAACAATGTGGCTAAAAGCATCTGTTTGGTGCTTGAATCCATCATCAACCTGGAGGTGGGAACATATCATTGCAAATTATTTGGCACACTGCTTGAGGCCCTTGTTTTTTGAATTGATATCACTCTTTCTCAGGTAACCAGTATTTTCCACTGCCCTCCTTGTGATCTGTTTTTAGCCTTATGTCTTGACGTCTTGTATTCACTATTCAGGATTTTATTGTTACAGTATGAACTTCCGAAGATTTATGTATTGCACACCACTCTTTATGTCCAGGAGCTAGGAGGTTCAAATTTATTGTTGGATATATATATATATATATGATTACAATAAGATAGTAAAATGTATGATAATCAGATTGGATGCCTTTGAGGCATAACTTACCTAGTGCAAGGGAAAACGATTGTGCTTGATATGTATCTTGACTAGCCACATGCTTGCATGGCTGTGTGGCTTTACAATTTTGTAACGACATGGAGTTTTTTCAGTCAAGGCTCAACTCAGAGGAACAGGTGCATAAACCAATGCCTACCCAACTACCAGTTATAGACACTAATGGGGAGACTAGAGTTGCCTAAAAGGTCAATGCTTATCTGTAAACTGCATTAGAAGCAGAGCTGATGGTGAACACTGAACAGAGCTTCTGGGGATGACAACATAATCTTCGCATCAGACTTTCTTGATAGCAATATCATCTCCACAGGTTCATCTTTTTTCTGGTGGACTGGCTGGTTTTATCTTGCTGACGATATCTTAAATGCTTGAATGTGTTCTCATCTGTTAGGATTAGATATGTTGGTAGGGACTTAAGCGTTAATGTATCTCATGCAGTTACCCAGGAGCAAAATCTTTTTCAATTGATATCGGATTGGTTGATATAGATTCTTTCTTTCATGAAGTATTATTTTTCCTTTATTGCATCTATCTTGCTCATGTTGCTTCGTATAGTAGCTGGAAACCAGGTATTTTTTTCAAATGGAGGTAATCCGGATCTCACAACAAAAAAACATGTGAGATAAAGACTTTCTCCAACCGAATGGGGAATGGAACAATACTCTTCTTAACCACTACTTTACAACACCCTCGGTTGAAGCCATAAACAACATCCCAGTCAGCCCATTCAATGGGAGAGATAAAATTCTCTTGAAGCAGACAAATAATGCTATACACTCAGTATGCTCGGCCTACAGGATCTTTTCATCAGGCTTAGGCCGCAACTCCCAAACTCTCTCACCTAAGAGTTGGAACAGGCTTTGGGCTTTAAAAGCCCCGTATAGATGCCGATTGTTCGGATAGAAACTGCTATCATGTGCAGTGAAAGTCAAAAGCACCAACTGACTTTGCAGGCGAAGGGGAGACTTAGAGTGCCCTTTCTGTAACTCTGCTGAAGAAACCCAACGGCAGCTCTTCTTTGAGTGCACATTCTCGAAGGCTATCTGGGTTCACAGTTAAGTGGGGTTCAATCCAGACCTCTTCCTCGAGTCTAACTCGCCAGACTTTTTAGACTGGTGGTGCAAAAGAAATAACGACCAGAGTAAGCCCATCCAAAAAGTCTTCTTGTCCAGAATTCTAGCCTTATTGAGAAGTCTATGGAATGAAAGAAATGAAGTCATCTTTAAAAATAAAGTCCCAAACACCTTGGATGTGTGCTCTAAAGCGGATAACTATTACCCTTTGGAGGCTAACCTCCTGGACTGCACCAAGAATCTGACTCAATTTCCCCAAAATTTTAATGCCATCTCACACTTTTGTTTATTGTTGATGGGTCGTGGACCATTAGCACACACTCCTCTTCAACAGGTCTCTTCCTATCCTCTCATATTCTCAATATATGCATTGCAGAAGGACAATGTTGCATGGCAGTCTCCCCCGGCGAAGCTGAGCTCTGGGCAATCATCCGAGGTCTGAGGGTGCTGATCTCAAAGAAAATTCAAACTGCTATACTCTTTTCTGATGCAAAGGAAGTTTTAGAGGAAGTTAAGAGGAACCAAAAGAAATACCAGTTGGAATCAACAGCTGATAGAGCACATCAGATATTTACTTACACTTGTTGATAATATTTTGTTAGTCCATGCCTGTAGAACTGATACTTCAGCAGCTCATGTAATGGCAAGAAAAGCCAGGCTTACTAGATCTTTTGTTTCCTTTTGTAACCCCCGCTTTATATCTCTAGACTAGTGCCATCATGTATCAGGGGTATAGTATGTATCTTTGATGTTTTTAGTGGTTCCTCTTTGATTAAAAAAAACACAAAAAAACATGGTCCAACATACAAGATTTGGAAATATGCCGACAACAAAAAATTTTTCCTACATGCCCACAATGAAAACACTGTGAAGTCCCCTACTAATATACTTAAATATTACAATATGCCCACAATCATAACAGATCTGTTTAATATACTCAACAAAATGAAAACACTGTAGGAATTCCCGTATCTTTATTCTTAGAGCCAAAATAGTAGATTTGGAATCAAATATGATGATGCACAATCTGGCTGGTCTTAGCTGTCAATGATCTTGCCTCTGAACTGAGTAACAGGGACCTGAAACGGAAGGAGAAGAAAAGCTCCGGGGAGAACCCGGCATAAGGGCTCCGAAGCTCAAGTTAGAATCCTTCAAAGGCAAGATAAACCAGATAGCGCAAAAGTTAGCATACCTCGTTCCTGGGGGGTAGGAGCCTTTTATAACCACCTCGCGCACTCACTTCCAGGCTTTCGTCAGATCGGGCATGATTACTTCTGA